ATTTATTATTTGTTAGAGAGAGAGAGAGAGGGAGCACAGCAGGGGGAGCGGCAGGAAGAGGGAGCGGGGTAAGCAGGCTCCCTGCTGAGCAGAGAGCCCGATGCAGGATTTGATCCCAGGACCCAGGGATCATGACCTGAGCCTAAGGCAGACGCTTAACCCACTGAGCCCTCCAGACGTCCGTTGAGTTAGTTTTGATAAACAGTATTTTCTTAGGAGCATGCGCACTTCATCACAGTTTACATTTATTAGCCTACAGTCTTTTGGTCTTATTTGATTATTACGAAATTTGGTAGGTCAAAAGGTGGGTGAAACTGCTTAATAGTCAGTTATTTTGAGCTAGAAAAATGGCAGGTTCATTTTATTCAACCACACGCATCCACGAGAGCACACAACAGTCCCACAAATTGTCTAGGGTTGGGTGCACTGCACCTGTGTCCCCGCCGTAGGCGGGGCGGCCGCACTCCAGAGCCTCCGGGGCCTCTGTGTTCCCTCCTCCCCCGTCAACAGAGGCCACTCTACCCTTTCCTTGTTTTTCTTTATACTTTTACCAAATAGGCATTGTCCCTAAACAACATTAGTTTTGCATCTTTTGAACTTCGTATAAATAGAGTCATACCAGACGTGTGTTTCTCTAAGTTGCTGCTTTAATTCCACATTACGTATTTGACCCACTCTTACTGCGGAGAGCTTGCTTCGGCAGCCCGGGTACGAAAATCAGAATGATACAGGGGAGATGGCCTGTTTCTAGGTTTGGTGTATTGTAAATAATGCTGCCATGAACTATTTGTGCTCGTGATCTGGTTTATTTGTAAAAGACCTTCTCTAGGATGTGCCCAGGAGTGACACTATTAGGTTGTAAACATGTACATCTTCGACTCTACTAGATAATGCCAAATTGTTTTCCAAAGTGGTGATACCAGTTTCCAGAGCAGTGCCCACCTCCCCCACAATGTACTGGTTTCTGCGACTCCATATCACTGCCGATACTCGGGATTGTCAGACTTTTTCATTTCTGCCAATCAGTGGGAATAAAAGGACATTTCACCACGACTTGATTTGCATTTCCTCAGACCTTTTTTTTTCTTTGAAGATTTCTTTGTTACATATAGAAAGCGACAGAGAGAAAGGGGCAGAAGGAGAGGGAGCAGCTTAAGCAGACTCTGCACTGGGCGTGGAACCTGACACGGGGCTCAGTCCCACGACCCTGAGATCACAACCTGAGCCAGAATCAAGAGTCGGATGGTTGACCGACTGTGCCGCCCAGTCGTCCCTGCATTTCCACAGGCCTTTCTGTTCTCACTTGATGGAGAGTACAGTCTGGTCTTCTGCAAGACGTGGGACAAGATGTGAACATCTAGCAGCTTCTGTGTGTGTGTGTGTGTGTGTGTATAATCTAGCAGCTTCTTGATCAGATTTTCAATTAATTCTCCTGTCCTCCCACCACTGCCAGACATACATATTTTCTTCTAAGGTACCTGGTACTTCCAGCTCTGGTGCAAGCCAGCCCCAGGTCCCCGCCGCTTCCTCCCTGCTCTGGTCTCCTACATCACTTGTTACTCTTCCACCTGTTTTCCAGCTTCTAAAACATTCTCTTAGAAGCAAGGACTACACGGGTGTTTGAGCTCCCCTGCTATTGATCTTTTTTTTTTCCATTTCATTAATTTCCTGCTCTGTGATTTCCTTTTTTTCTACTTTCTCTGTTTATTCTGCTGTGGGTTTTCAAACTTCCTGAGTTGGTGCTTGTCTTATTCTTTTTAAAGCTATACATTTCCTCCTAAGCACTGCTTGAGCTCCATCCTATATGGTTTTTTTAAAAAAAGATTTTATTTATTTGAGAGAGAGAACGAGGGGGACAGCATGAGTTGGGGGGGCAGAGAGAAAGGGAGAAGCAGGCTCCCCGTTGAGCAAGGAGTCTGATGTGGGGCTCGATCCCAAGACCCTGGGATCATGATCTGAGCCGAAGGCAGAGGCTTCACTGACTGGGCCCCCCAGGCGCCCCTATTCATTTTCATATGGGGTGTTTTAATTACTGTTCAGCTTTGTTGTTAGATTTTCATTATAATTCCTCTTGCACCAGTCACTTATTTGGAAGTGTATTTTAAAATTTACATTTGTACGTTAAAACTTCCAAACATACAAGATGACTTAATTTTAGTTAAAATTCGGATTTTTTTCTATCACAGTTTGAGAACATGTTTTGTACAATACCCATTCTTTTAGTATTTGTTGAGATTTGTTCCATGGCCTGGGACACGGTGAGTTTTACTAAATGCTCAAGGTTAACTTTCGAAGAACGTGTGGACTCTAGTGCGGGGATGTCCGGTGATCAAGCTTGTTCAGTTTTTCCTGTAGCGAGAAGCGGTGTCACTAATTGCGGCAAATGTACTAATTAATTAATTTTTCTTTTTACTGCTACTTTTTTGTTTGACACACATTTAAGGTTCTACCATTAGGCAGGTGCACACATTAACGGTTAATGCTTTCAAATGAATTATTTCTTTAATCATTATGCAGTGACCTCTTTTATTCCTAATAATGATTTGTGCCCTGAGGTCTACTTCGTCTGAGGTTAATTTCTCTCCACTAACTTCCTTGTGGAAAATACCTGCCAACTGTGTCTTTCCATCTGTATCACTTACAGTTTGGTGGCAGACCACAGAACCCCTCTAACTGTGTAAGTTAAAAAAAAAGGATTTATTATCAGGTAAGAACAACGTCAACAATCTTGGGAAGAAAAGAAGGAACAGCTTCTAGCCCTCTGAATTCGCCACCTCTCCTGGAATCAAAAACAAATCCTAAACCCCGAATTCAAGTAGAACGTAGGCTACTGTCTTTCCCCCGGATGGAACACCGGGCACGTCCTCCCCAGGTTGTCTCCCTGTGACTTCAACAACCACCGGCCCCTCCTCCAGCTAACGCTGCATTGCCCACCTGGCCACCTAAGCCAGAGCCCGAGGGTCACCCTGACTATCCCTCTCCATCCCCCCCGAGTCTGATCCCCTTCCCACACCTCCTTTCTTTTTGTTTCTAATATGCCTGGGATTTCAAGCCTCAGCACACCTTGCCTGGGCTGCCTTAAGCGGCTGTTCTCTCGTCTGCGCGTCTATCGCCTATCCTCTCTGTGTGTATCATCTCTCTATTATCTAGCAATCATGTGTCATCTAGCTATCATCAATCAATCACTCAATCAATGTACCTGTCATCGATTATCTATAGCTCTGTTTCTTTGAGGTGAAATTCACATAACATGAAATTAACCCTTTTAAAGGGCACAATTCGGTGACATTTACTACATTCCCAGTGTTGTGTGAGCATCACCTCTACAGTTCCAGCCCGTGGCAACAAGTGCTCTGCTTTACGTCTGTATAGATTTGCCTATTCTGGATGTTTCCTCCCAGGGAAGTCGGTGTGTGTGGCCTTCCTTCCCTGTCCGCACGCTTAGCTTTCACGTGGCTGCTCTGTCTCCCTTCCCACCAGCAGCCGACTGAGGACCGAACTGTGCGCTCTTGCCTCCCTCCAAACCCTTCTCCACACCGCTGGCCACAGGCGTGACTGCGTGCTGTTGCCATCCTGCCCGACATCCTTCGGCGGCTTCTTCTTGCCTCTTAAGTCAGTCCTGGCTCCCTGGCACAGCTCCGGCCCTTCCCTTCCTCTGCCTTCTGCACCACACTGACGACTCGTGTCTTGCTCCTGAGGGGCCGCTGGGCTTTTGTGCCAGCAGTCCCTCTTCCAAGAAGGTCTACAACTCCTCCTTCCCTGCTTCCCTTTGCCCCATGGGGTTGGGACTCCTGCTCCTCTGGGCCTGTCCCCCAGCCCACTCTGCTGCTCACCCCACGGCGGCTCTCCGCAGGCAGGGACCGGGCCCGGGATTGGTCCTGAGTCCTAATGGCACTCAGCCAAGGTTTTCGTGAGATGTTAAATCCGCCTCCCCACCGGGCTGGAGAATATGCGGAGTTGTCTTTGGGGGGGTTAGGGGCTGAGGTTGCTCCTTCCACCCCAGGCCACCTGCCGCCCCTCCCCGTCCTCCCCCCAGCCCCACCAAAGAGGCTAGGAGGCAGGACTGCACTTTCCACAGGACGCTTTTACTGAGGGATCGAGGGGCACTCCCCAGCCAGGGGGCTGAGGACCTGGAAAGGCACATGCGGTGGCTGTGGTGGGGTCTCCCTCGTGGGTGGGGGCTGGCTTTGCAGAGACAGCTCCCCTGACTGACCCCTCTTTGGCATTGAGCTGGGCACACGGGTGCCCTCATGCCCGGCAGCCCCAGCGCCCGTTTCCCCCTTTGGTGGACCTGTACCTCCCCCACCCCACGGAGGCGCTGGCAGTGTAGGCTGGCGGGGCCACAGGCTGCCAGGGATTGGCTCAAGGGCGAGGCCGCCTGTGGGAGGACCAGGGCCCAGGCCGCCTCTCCCTTGCTGGCAGGGTGCTCCTATTGGCAATCGAGATGGCTCCAAACAGGAACCGAATAAATTAGCTTGTGGAAGGAGAGAAGGCTAGGGGCCAAGATGGGCAGGGGCTACATTCTTACCATGGCTGGCTCAGAAATGCTGTGCCGCCCTTTCTCCCGCGGGCTCCTGGAGACAACCGGCGGGAAGAGGGGGGCACGCAAGCGGCCTGCCTGCAGGTCCTGCCTGGCTGTTTCTACAGTGGGAAGGGGGTCCCACAGAGTGGGAGCCTTGGTGGGCCATTTGGGTGGTAGCCACGTGGGGTCTCCAGGGACTGAAGGGAATAAGGGGGACTACGGCGTCAGGGCAGCAGAGCTCCCCATGCAAGGCTCCACACAGACTGGGCTGGTGGTGCGAGCTGGGGGGCTCCACTCCACCCCTCGCCCCTCCTGGAAGACAAGAAAGGACCACCTGCCCCACCCAGGGAAGCCCCCCTGCCCCCCGAGAGGCACGTAGTTTTGCTGGCAGTCCTCTAGGCAGGGCAGGCCCACCGCCAGAAGGCCCGAGAGGGAAAGGCATGCGGGGTAGGCCCGCGGCAGTGGCGTGCCGGGCGCAGGGGTGGGTGGGTGAGTGAGGCCGTTTCCTTCATGTGATCCCGGGGCTCAAGGGAGGGGAGCACCCTGGAGGACTCCAGGGCCTTGGCCCAGGATCTGGCAGAGCTCGCGGAGGCGCCGCTGCGTCTTGGGAACGCCCGCCAGCTGCTGCTCGAGCCGCTGCTTCTCCTCAGTCAGGCTCAGGCGGGCAGCGGAGTCCAGCTTCTCGAACTTCCAGCCGCCCTCCCCGTCAAACTGCAGCAAGTGCGTGTGGTACTTCCTGAGCCGGGGGTAGAGGAGCGGAGGCTGCTCAGATGGAGACCTGGAGACTCAGCCCGGCCTCCCCTACTCCCGTCGCGCCCCAGCAGCCCAGCAGGTGGGGTGCTCCCTCCTCTCAACTCCGGGTGGGAAGGGAGGGCACCTACCATAGGGAGGGCCGGTGGGTGATGGACAGCAGGGCGATGCCGGCATCCTTGGCCGCCTGGAAGATCTCGCCTTCTACGTCAATGCTCACAGCGCTGGTGCACTCATCCAGGAGGGCATACTTGGGCCTGGGCGCATGTGGGGGCAAAGGCTCTAGGGTTGTGTACCCTCCTTCACAGAAGCCTTGGCCTGCCCCCCCGCCACTGCCCACTGTGGGAACCCCGATCTGCGCACTGATTCTGCTTTTTGTGCCCAGTGCTGGCTGGGCCCAAGCCAGGGTGAGGCCCCCTAAGGGCCATAGGGCACCTGGCTGTCCCACCACTCGGCTTCCTGGGAGCCCCCAGCTCACCTGTGGTAGAACATGCGGGCCATGCCGATTCTCTGCTTCTCCCCCCCTGACAGCACGTCCTTCCAGTCACACTCGGCCTCCCAACCTAGGCAGGGGCAAAGGGCTTCGGTGGGCTTCAGCAAGGGCTGCGGCTGCACCTGCACAGGGCCCAGACCCAGGGCCGGCAGGAGGGCCCGAAGAGACCAGTGAGAACGGGACACGGGGGCCTATGGGACCCTGGAGAAGGCTGGGTCCACGCACCCTGGACACTTATCTATCTGGAGGTGATCTTAATCTTGACTTGCGAGCAGAATTGTGGCCCCTCCAAAAAAAGACACATGGGCATCCTGAGGCCTGGGACCACAGAACATAGCCTTACTTGCAGACATGGGCTTTACAAAAGGGACAGTTGTCACAAGGTCATGAGGGGGTCCCCGTCCCCCAGGACCACGTCCCCACGTAAAGGGGAAAACTGGAAACAGACACGCACAGAGGGAAGGCCACAGGAAGACACAGGGAGAAGACAGCCAGGCCTGGGATGGCTCCATCCCTCACGGCCGTCAGAGGGGACTGACCCTGCTGACTCCTCCCACGGGGACGCAGCACGCTTCAGGTGGCTAAGCTGCTCACTACCCTGCTGCGGCAGCCTCACAGATGCTTGCCAGACCTGAGAGCCAGCCAGTGCCTCCACCCACGGGCAGCGGCGGGTGTGGCAGAGCCCCAGGGATGGCTGATGTCTCCCAGAAGGCTTCTGGCCCGCAGGGACCAGGTGTTTGTGTCACGGCTTGGTCTGAGCAGAGATGACTCCTTGGGTCCTACCTCCACTCTGTCTTCCCACGGGACTGGAAGTTCTCCACAAAAAAGGCTCTACTCTGTAGCTTGTCTTGAGGTGAGGTGTCACCATGGAACCGAATTCTGGCCAATACGGTTTAAGTACATTACACATGCGCCAGCTTCTGGAACTTTCTTCAAGACAGATGGCAGGTACCCTTGGCCTTTCCCCCTTTCTCCATCCCATGGCCTGGCATGCGATGTGACAGCCCAAGGAGCCATTTTAGATCATGAGGTGACTTCAGGAAAGGAGGCCACAGAGAGCTGAGCAACCTGAGGGGCCTTCACAGAGCTGGGCTGCCTCCATCGATTGTCGCCTGCTTTCCTCACGACTTCGATGTCACAGGAAGATAAACTCGTGAATGATTTGAGCCAGTGTTGGGGGGAAGGGGTTCTGTTACTCCCAGCTGAACTCAGTGCTAACAGGCACTCAGGGTGCCCGTGAAGACAGGCGTTGGGGGGGGGGGTGCTGTGCGCTCCTGGGCTCAGGGTGCCTGGTCAAGTGTCCCCTAGTGATGGAGGCAGGAAGCTGAACCCTGCTTTTCAGATCTCACTAAAAAAATTGAGTGCAGCCCCACCTTGGTTCCCCCCTGCACCGGGGCTGCCCTCTCCTCCTCCCCCATTCTGGGCACAGCAAGCATTTGCGGACACAGCTGACAAGTCCTGACCAATGCCTTCTCTTGCTACCAGCCTGTCCCTCCAGTCCTGCAGTCTCCTTCCCAGGGGATGGCACCTCCCAGGCTCAAGCCAGAAACCCAAGCGTCCCCTCCAGCTCTCTCCTGCCTCCTGTGTTAGAGGCCCTCTGCACACACACCCTGGGCTCACCTTCTCCGCAGCTGACTGGCTCACGCCAGGGTCTGTCCTCTTGCTAAAATGTGACACCAACCCGTCACTTCCCTGCCTAGAGCCTTCCAAAGGCTTCCTTCACGGTCAGGGAAAGCCAGGGCTCCCCGCCTGGCCCACAGGGCCCTCCCAGCCACTGAGTCCGAGCCTGGAGAGCGCGTCCAGAGCGGAAAGTGAGCGCCCACCCCGTCCCCTGCTGGATGCCTCCTGCTGTGCCGGGCCTGCCTTGTCCAGTGAGCTCTGGGGCACCCTAATGGGTGGTGCTTTCCAGGGCGCCTAGCTCTCTGGACTCCTGGATGTCGGAGTTCTCGTCATCGCTCGGGGACCAAGAGGGAGGCGGGGGTGGGGGTGGCAGCAGGCTCCCCAGCATTCTCGGAACCGAAGGCAACCAAGGGACGGCTCCCTCCCTGGCGCTGACCAGTGACATGGGCCACGTCCTCCCCTACCTCCTTCCCGCTGCAGGATGTGGTTCAGGTGCACAATGTCCAGGATGGCTTCCAGGTGCCGCTCTGAATAGCCTTTCCTTCGCATGTCCTCCACAGAGTCTGGGTAGATGACCTGGTCCCGCAAGGAGCCCACGGGCATGTAGGGCCTGCGGGCGCACCGCCTGTCAGGACAGGGCAGGCCTGGCCCTGCCTCCCGACCCCTTGCGCCTGGGCGGGCTCGGTTACCGGCCGGGAGCCCGGCGTGGGGCCCGCTCAAGGCCCGCCGATCCCCGCCACCGGCCCCCCTGCACACACACCACGCACTGCGCACACGCTACGCCCCCCATCCCCGCACGTATGGGCGTGTGCACACCTCAGACACACGCACGTGCACCAACACACACCCACACCGCTCCACCGCGGGCGCATGCGCACCACACTGCCTTTCTGCGCGCACACGCACCACACGGGCAAGTAGGGCCACGGCTCGGGGGCAGGGGGAGGCTGCGTGGCCCCTCCGGCTCTGGCGGGGGCAGGTGCCCCACGTGGGAAGGGGTAGAGGCCGGGCTCCCCTCCTCCCCTCACCTCTGGGGGATGTAGAACATGCGTTGCGGCGGGGGCTTGTAGAGCACGCCGCTGTACGTGGGCCAGAGGCCGCCGAGGATCCGGAAGAGAGAGCTCTTGCCGCAGCCGTTGGGGCCAGTGATGAGCAGGTGCATGCCCTCTTCCACCTGCGGGGCAGTGGCAGCTGCGCTGGTACCTGGGGGGCCACGCCAACCTCCCTCCTCTCCGCTGTGCCCCATGCTGGGGTCCACGCCCCGCAGCCAGTGAGGGACAGTGGGGCCTGAAGGACGAGGTCCAGGAGCCAGGGCCCTAACCACACACCTGTTCTGGGTCCTGGCCTGGCCCCCCAGTCCCTGACACGCACCACAGAGCACGGGGCCAGCACGAGGAAGGCCCCAGAGAGCCACTGTCACCCTCTTTCCCTGCCGTCCTGCCTCTCTCGGACTAACCGGGACAGTTCCCGTGTCTTCGCTTCTCCAGCAGAGCTGCTTTCCCTTGAGGAACTGTCCCAGGAAAGGTGCTTTCTTTCGGGTTCTAGGGGGACAGAAGAAACCTCCAACTCTGTCCCTAATGCCCTGCCAATCCTGCTGCCCCTGTAGGCCTCACTGTCCCTGCGGGTGCTAGGGCACTGGGCAGATGCTTCTGGGACCCCGGGGTTCAGCAACAAGCAGCTCAGGCTCCCCAGTTAGCCCATTACGTGGTGCCTGCTGGTCTTATGGAAATGTCTGCTGGGGGAAAGAGGCCAGCTGAGCTGGGGGTGGGGAGTGTACAAAAAGGAGGGGGTCAGATGGAAGGACCCCTGGGGCACAGCCCCTGCCCCCTCATTGCCATGTTGAGCTCTGCTCTCTCACAGTGTGACCTAGCAGGGACACTGCCGTGCAGTCCCCAAGAGGTCTGAGTGAGACCATGTTATGGATGGAGCGGTGCCCCCCGGGACACACATTGGAGTCCTAATCCCCAAGACCTGAGAATGTGATCTTATTTAGAAAAAGAGACTTTGCAAATATAATTAGTTAAATTTAGATGAGGTCAGCCTGGAGTGGTGGGGCCCGTAATCCAGCGTGACTGGCATCCTTAGTAAAAGGGATCATCTGGACCCAGAGACATGCACACGGAAGGGGAAGGCCATGTGAGGAGGAGAGCAGAGCAGAGCTCGACACGAGGCTTCTGGAAGTCCAGAACCCCACTGATGGCCAGTAAAGCACCCAAACTGGGGCAGGCCTGGAGCAGACCCTTCCGCAGCGCCCCGATCTGGCCTCTGGCCTCCAGAACCCGGAGAGAAGCCACTCCTGCTGCCCCAGCCCCTCCCTTCGTGGTCCTGTTAGACCATAAATGCCCTCACAGGTCCGGGGGTGGGGAGGCTGGGCCTCCCTCCTCCATGATCCATGTGTAAGGGCCAGTGTGTCAGGCCTGGCTCTCCCCCAGTCAGCACCCTGGCAGCCTCCCTGGGCTCCTTCCCTGTGCCTCTCCCTCTTCTGCCATCCTTCTTGCCCCACTGCCTGGGAACTGCTCCTCCCAGCCCCAGAGCCTGGCTTCCACCTCGCCTCCCACCCCCGCTCTTGTCCCAGTCACCCCTCCCCACCTGGCCTTGCTCCCTCGCCAGCTGCGCCCTGCCGAGCCAGGGCCCCTGCCCTTTGCCTACTTGGCTGCCACTGGGCCTGCAGGGGCAGTCGTTTGCCTTGGAAAAACCAGGCATTTGTGGCTCCCTGCCACACCCCAAGAGTGACCACGGCCAGGGACAACAGGGATGATACCACTGTCCCATGCTGCTTGGGATAACGAAATGTGCCTGGCCTCCAACTGGCTCTCAGGGCCCCTCTCAGCAGATCAAGGAAAGGAGCCTCCACTGGCACTACCAGGCCCAGAACCCCCACCTGCCTCTTCCCTGTTCCCTGCCCAGCCGTGACTCCAAGTGACCTGGCTCTGCAGCCAGGAACATGACGCCCCACGGTCCCCCAGCTCCGCGCTCCTGCTCCTTCAGTGCCTGTCGTCTGCCTGTCGACTGGGAGAGGCCCTCTTCCTCCTGCTGCCCATCCACCCTGAGGCTCCTGGGGTAAGCTTCAGGTGACCTCTACTCACGTCACACACAGGACCACCCTTCCCATGGCCCCCACAGGATCCTGGGCAGCTAACTGGGGACATCTGCAATACTTGAGGTGACCCAGTGTGGGGCCTTCCTGAGGGCAGCGCCCCTCCAGCTTATCTCTGGTTCCCAGGGCCCGGCCTGGGGATGAATGAATGACTCCATCTCGTTTTGGCACTGACCCCACCCCCACAGGTCTCGCCTTCATTCTCCCACTCCCTGATCCTGTCTGAAGCTCTGGCTCGGGACCCAGGTGATTGGTGGGGGTGGCCACTAGGACTTGCTTTTCACAGACGGCCTCTGCAGAGGCTGAGGGCCCTCCCAGGGGCCAGGCGCACCCAGCACACACCTATCCTGGGGGCTTCTTGAAGCAGATGGGTGGGACCTTAAGCTCAGGTCACTGGAGTTGAAACCGAGTCCCCAAGTCCTGGGCTTCTCAGGGATTGGGGTGGGGGGTGGCAATGATGGGGCCAGGGCCAGGAGCCCTTGGGTGACCTTTGGCCACTCCTGGTAATTGCCACTTTCATGACTGCACTGCGACAGAACCCACAGTCAGAGCCCGGTCACTTGGAGTCACGGCTGGGCAGGGAGTTATGGGGAAGAGGCAGGTGGGGGGTCTGGGCCTGGTAGTGCCAGTGGAGGCTCCTTTCCTTGATCTGCTGAGAGGGGCCCTGAAAGCCAGTTGGAGGCCGGACCTTAGCCTACCTGCCAAGGGGATCTTGGGAATGACAACATACGCAGGCCCAGCAGGCCGGACACCAAAGGCGGGGGCTCGCAGATGCAGAAGGCTAAGCCCCGGGCCCTGGAGTTCAGCCCGGGGCTGCCAGCACTCCTGGGTCCAGCAAACCATGCCCCGTGCCGCCCCCTTGACCTACCCTGATGTTGAGGCTGGCCACCACCACCTCTCCCGTGGGTGTGATGATGGGGATGTTCTCACAAATAATTCCTTGTTCCACGTCTACCACTTGGCCTGGAGAGAGAATGCAACGGACAAATGGAGGGAGCAGCAGCGCCTTCTTGTGGGTTCCACGTGCCCCCAGCCCGCCCGCGCGGGTCCGGGGCTCCCCGGGAACATGGTGGGGCTTCCATGAGACTATCCCTGAACAGTGTCTGGTGCCGCACTCGGGTCGGCGGGGGGCAGTGTCCATGTCCGCCCTTGCTCTGTAAAACCCTCTGCTCCTGGCACTCCTGTAATGGAGGCTTGGATGCCTGGGCCCCTCTTCCACAGCACCCTGGCCCCTGCTGTGGTCTGGAAGTTTCCGTTGCTGCCCACACTGGAGAGTGAGCCCCTCTACTCAGGGACTTCATCTCTTTCTTTTGTGCCCTCACCTCGGATCTGCAGGGGCCCCTCTACGCGGACTCCAGGCCTCGCCACAGCCCCGGGCCCCGCCTGAGTGTCCTCCAGCTCCCCGGGCCTCTTGAAATGGCAGTGCTGGACATCTTCAAACACCTGGAACATCTCGTGTACTCGGGCTGTGTAGCCGGCCAGCTCCGTCACCTGCGGGCAGGGTGACCCCAGCTCAGATGGCGCCAGCTAGGGTACAGGGGGCAGGCACGGCGGGAGGGGGTGGCGCTGAGCTGAGGGGGACTTACCTCCTTGTAGGATGATATGATCCGCTCGATGGCATCTGCAGCGGCTGTGAGGAGGTTGCGGGCGATGGTGAAGGCTTCTGTGCGCTCGCTCACGAGCTCCTCCTCCTTCATCTGCAAGGCCGCCTTCTTCACTGCCTCGGGGTCTGCAGAGCGCAGTGGGAAGGAGGGGGCCGTGGAAGATCAAAACGGACTCACGAGGGGAAGGGAGAGTCTCTCTGGCAGACAGTGCTGGGACAGCTGGGCATCTGGTGGCAGAAGATACCCTACCTCACACCACCTACAAAAACTAACTCTCGTGAGAGCTTAGACTAGAAAACTCTGGGAAAAGAGCACCTGTTAAGTCTTTCTGAGCTGGGATTATGTATGCGTCCTTAGATACGACACCGAAGGCACAGGCAACAAAAGAAAAACAGTAAATGAGCTCCACCAAAATTACAACTTTTCAGGCACCCAAGGGAACCATGCAAAAAGCAAAAAGACAACCTACAGGTTGGGAGAAAACACCTGCAAATCACATGTCCAATAAGGGTCTCATATCCAGAATATGTAAAAAAAACTTTTCCCATTTAACAACAAAGAAAACCCAAGGAAACCATGGGCAAAGCATCTGAAGAGAAAATTCTACGGTATTTCCTAGATCTCCAAGTGACCAGCAAGCACATGAAAAGGCACTCAACATTTTTGGTCATCAGGGAAACATAAAATCCAAACCACAATGAGCTACTACTTCTTCCCGCCCACGAGGATGGCTGGTGGGGTGTTGCAGAATGGCGCAGCCCATGTGGACACCAGTCTGCCGGTTCCTCAGAAAGTTCCACAAAGAGTTACCATGGGCCCCAGCCATTCTGTTCCTGGGACCGCATCCGCGAGAAACAAAAAATGCACGTTCACACGAAAACCTGTACACAAATGATCACGGCAGCACGATTCGTCACCATCCAAACGCGTAAATGGTCCAAGTGTCCATCAGTGGATGGACGGCTCAGGAAACTGTGGTGCGTGTGGATAATTTGGCTGTGAAAGGCAGTAAAGGGCCGATTCAACCTACAACGTGAATGACCCTTGAAAATGTGATGCTGAGTGAGAGAAGGCCAGCACCGAAGGCTGCAGATTGCGCGATTCCATTCACGGGAAGGGCTCACAAGCAACAGAAAGAAGAGTGGGGGCTGGGGGCCGGGGAGTGCTGGGGAGGGAGCGACCACTATTCTTTTTGGGGTGACGATGATGTTTTGGACTTAGTAGTGATGGTCGTACAATTTCACTGATATGTTAAAAACCACTTAATTATACACTTTAAAAGTCTCAATTGTATGGGATGTTAATTACATCTCAATGATCTGGATGAGAAAATGACCCACGAGGCAGCGGGCTTTCTTTTTTGGCGCGACCAGCTCCTTTCCCCTAAACTGCCCTCGCTCAGTGCCCTCTACTAACGATGGCAGAGCCTCTTGGGCCACACCTGCACCTCACCGTGCAACGCCCAGAGCTGTTGGACCCCTGATGCTTTCCAACATGAATGTCCCTTTGGACCTCCAGTGCTACCCCCATTTCTCCCTCATCTCATCCCTTGACACTGTATTCTGTGGCCTCTCTGAGATCGGCCATCCCTGATGCCCCTGTTTCTCCCTGGGAGCCTTTTTCTCTCTCCCGACCTCCTTTTCAGTTTCAGTCTAGACCCTGTGGCTGCTCACTTCAGTCATCTTCTGACAGTGGTTTGAACTCCCATGACCCTTAGAGTTCCCAGGAAGGCAGGGCTTTTACACAGGAATGTTCTGGAAAAGGTGATGGGGAGCAAGGGGGCGGCGGACTCTGAAGGTCCTGAGGGGTGGGAGAGTGAGCAGTGCCCACTGGGGTACTTCGGGGAAGCTGAGCCTCCTGGGGCCAAAGTGGTAGGAAGGAAGGTCCCATGAAATGCGCAAGGACTCTCTCCAGGGGCCTATGTCACTTCGAGGTGGAAGCCTTAGGGAGATGACGGCAGGGGTGGGGTGGGAAGGGGCAGGAAGCCAGCTTGGGGCAGATGGCTTCCAGGGCAGTACCCGGTGGAAAAGGCATGGGATGGATGGCCTGACTGCCTTGCATTGCCTTTTCTTGGGCCTGGCCCAGGAACCCCCAGAACAGGACAGGGTGGTGGGGGCGGGGGGTGGTGACTAATCCTGGCAGTCTATGGTCTTGGGCCTGCCCTTCCACCATGCCCCCAGGGACATAGCCCCCAACAGGCAGGGGAGGCATAAGCTATCCTCCCTGGATGTCCTAAAAGCCTGACAGCGGATACACACAAAGGGAAAGGGTTTGCAGTTGTTGGGGGCATGCTGGCACCAGCCGGCACCCCCTGGAGACAGAACTCATTACCCTCTGTAGGTTCCCTCGGAGGCTCAGGCAGCCAAGACCAGCGCCTGGAGGCAGGACACCAGGCAGCTGGTCACAGCAAGGCCGTCCTTCCTCTGGACCTTCCAGCCTTGCAGCTCTAGCAGGCCAGAAGGGCAAAGGGACCTAAATTTTCCCCAGTTGGTAAGTGTCTGCCTCCTCCCATAGGTCCCCAGGGCTTTCAGCTTCCTCGAAGCACCCAGAGCCCTCACTAGCCTCCAGGTACCGGGGATACAGCAAGGACAAAACAAAAATCCCTGCCTCCACTGAGCACAGCAGCCCAAAGTGGCGGAGCAACAAGAGACGAAATGGGGAAGTGGACTAGACGGGGTGTTGGGAGAGCAGCGAGGCGGGGATGGGGAAGAGGATGGCGGGGGCGGTGGTCTCATCAGAGGAAAGAGCATTCCCGGCAAAGCGAGCAGCACTTGCTAAGGCCCAGGGGCAGAAGCCTTGCTTCAGGGGAAGAGCAAGGAGGCCAGTAAGACAGTAGAGTGAGCTAGGCAGGCATGAATGTTTCACATTTTCACAGTCTAACTATAAAGGGCCACGAGGCCAGGGACAAGAACTCATGCTTCTTTGAATTGCCCACAAAGTCTGGTGGAGCAGAGGGTCTAGAAAGTCCTAGGCTTTCACAGGAGGGAGAGGCCTTGGGGACTAGACGGGCTCCAAGGCCAGCTATGGAGGAAAGTGGCGGCAGGTGAGTTTTGTCGTGGGTGGATTTGCACGCTCCAGGCCAGGGGTGCCAACTGGGTCTGGTACGTGGGCCTAAGTCAAGGCCACCCTTTATGAAAGCCTTTTGCGGTGGAAAGTAATAAGCCCCCTCCAATTAGATCCTTCCCCTTGGGGTCACCCAGAGAAGGACAGCCGACAGTACAGAAGCCCCAAGGTAGAGACACAAATAGGGAGGGAATCAAAGACTTTGGCTCTGAAACAAGTCAGGCTCTCTCTCATATGCAGTCGAAAACCCTCTTGCTGAGTGCCTGGGTGGCTCAGTCAGTTAAGCGTCTGCCTTTGGCTCGGGTCATGATCCTGGGGGCCTGGGATCGAGCCCCACACTGGGCTCCTTGCTCAGCGGGGAGCCTGCTTCCCCCCTCCCTCTGCTGCTCCCCACTTGTGTGCATGTGTGCGCTCTCTCCCTCTCTCAAATAAGTCTTAAAAAATAGAAAACCCTCTTACTACCAAATTGCATAGAATATAACACCTTTAGTTTTGTTATATTTACAATTTTTAAAAAAGTAAGCTTTATACCCAACATGGGACTCCCAACTCACAATCTGGAGATCAAGAGTCGCACGCTCCACGAACTGAGCCGGCCAGGGACCCCGAAGTGTAACACCTTTTCAAGCAGAACTGTGCTCCAAGAAAAGTAAGGGAAATTTCAGGAACACAGAGAGAAAGCAGCCATTAGGTACTCCTGTGAAATCTCCAGAGATGGGAGAAGACAGGGAAGTTTCTCTTGTGCTGCCGGCCCTCTAGGTGCTCGAAAGAAAAGGTCTTCTCTAAGAATCTATAATTATGTGTCTGGAGTTCAAATTAATACCGCCTCCAAGTTCAGGAACCCCTCTTCCCCAAGCTGAGAAGCTAAGGTAAAATGGCCTCCAAGTGGTTAATTACCTGCGCCGGCATGTGTGGCTCCCAACAAAAGCAAATACAGACCACACTGGGGAATGACCCCTCAGGTTAGGCCACTCAGGGTTCCCATGGGAGTCTGGTTGCAAAACCCACAGGGAACCAGTTCACCGTGAGCGAAGAGCAGCGGACGGAAGATAAAGCCTAGATTCCCAAGAATTCTGATAATCGAATAGTTGGATAGAGACAGAGACCACGGAGCGTAAAAAGGAGCAGTCCAAACGATGAGAAAATCAGACACGAAAACAGTTTAAAATTTCTATCTGAAGAGAAAAATGTCTGTTTTCACATTTCTGTGTGAAAGGGAAGCAAATGGAAGCTATAGAAATAGTCACTGAAATTAAAAAATTAAAATAAAAACAACAAATCAGATGCAGCTGAAAAGAAAACTCACGGATGAGCGAGCATAAAAGATCAGTGGAGAATTTTCCAGAATGATGGAAAATCTGAACATATGAAGGCCATACAACAAATCTCAAGCAGGACAAACAGAAACTGACTGGCAAACACTTCGTAGGTTAACCGCAGGATGCCAGAGAAGAAAAGTCGAAAAGTGACCAGAGGGACACAGACGCTGATGACAGATTGTCCAACAGAGACAATTATTGTCGAGGGGCTGAGAGAAGGTAACTGAAAAGAGTAAAATAAAAGTGGTTCAGACAACAAAATAGTCTCCAAGTTCCCATGACGAAAAGTCTTGCAGAAAGAACTTCCAGAAGATCTCTATCTGTAAGAAGGTAACTGGGCTGTGGAAAATGACCGGTGAGCCAAGAAATCGGTAACCAGAGGGGTGAATTTAGACACACATGGACCCGATAAAGCAACAGCCAGGCAATATAAACAACAGGAAAGCGAATTTGACGCTGAGCTCCACCAGACACCAGCAGGGCTGATCCCTAGAATGTTCTCAGGGCTAGGTGGGGGAGGAACTCCATATTAACAGCAACTCTGCCCGAGGACATGTGTTAACCTTTCAGAAGGCGGCCACAGGAAGACTCCCAGCAGGAGGACGAGACCGGAAGCCCAATGACCCACCAGCCAAAGTGACAAGCAAGGGCGTGTGACCCTTGCTGAGCTCGGGATACTGGCTGGGCCTCAGGGCCCCAGCGGAAGGGGCAGGTGGGTTGGCCGGGCTCTGGGGCCCCCCAAGCCCAGCAGTTAGCAACCCGGGGGTGTGGGGGAGGGGACAGGAGAGGGCTCCACCCCCATGGCAGCCTCGGCTCTCACCTGACTCTGCATAGCCGGTGGCCGTGATGATAGGCACGGCCACCATGAGCAGGCCCGAGGCGCTCCACACGTACTTCATGAGGAACTGCTCCAGCGTGATGTACCACAGGCGCTCCAGCAGGATGAGGTGAATCTGCGAAGCCAGGCCCTGGTAGGACTGCTGAAGGAGGGCTAGCTCCACCTGTGGGGGCCCGGGGGGGACAGTGAGAGACCAGGGGGCTTTGTGGTAGCTCCCATGGAGGCCACAAGAAGCTCGAAGCACCACTCATACATGCCATGCTATTGGATGGCCAGGACAAGGTCAAGGGCTGAGGGTTACGACCGGGCCATATTTACAGAGGCCGGCTGTCAAAGTTCGGGACTGCCTGACATCATAGTACCAGGGGACCGTCGCGACGCAGAAGGGACTCACCACAACCACCTCCCAAGATCCACTCCCACCCCTTCCTTCCACTGCACCTCTCTAGTTGGGACACTTACTGTGCCCCTCTCTTTGCCCTGCGGAGCTGACATCCTTGGGCAAATGCTGGGGGTGGGGGGCGGGTACTAGCTTGAGCCAAGCAAAGGGCAGCACTTGCTTTGGCCTCGCCTCCCCAACCTGCTCAAGGTTCCCCTGGATGAGGACCATATGCCGCGATCTCCCACAGAAACCTGGCGGGCAGTCTCCCAAGCTGGCCCTGCCCTTGCCTCCCCATCCCTGCACTGGCCACACCACCCGGGACCTCAGGCTGCCCACGGCTGGGCAAAGGGGCACCCATGGGGTCTGGATGAGGGGGCGCCAAAGGGAATGGAAGGCACACCAGAGGCACCAGGAACCGGGTCATGGCAAGGTGGCCATTAGGCTGGGGGTTTCTTGGCTTGTTACTTGCGGGGGGGGGGGCATGACCCAGCCCTGCCTCCAACCCCCAGCTGAGCACAGCTGCCCAGCATGGCACCATCTCCTCTGCCAAGTACTTTCACACCTGACTTTCCACTTGACTTTCATCACCTACAACAGTTATGTGTATTCTCATGTCCACTGTACTGGGGACGCCAAAGCCCAAGAGGCAAAGGGACCTGCCCAAGCTCACATCGCTTTGGGGCAGCCAGACGTGTGCAATTTGGACCATGCTGGCAGAGTCATTAGGAGAGAACCAGATTCTCATAAATGATGCTTTGACCTACTTGTTCTCAAAACAGCAAGAGTTTGTACCTATGTGTGCCCGCGCGTGCGCATGCGAGTAAAATCTGAACGAGCCTCCTCCGCGAGATCTCAATGAGAACAGAACACTGATGTCTGCCCTCCAGCCGGTCACCTCCGCTCTAACCTGTCGAATGGAGCCTGGACTAGTGTCCCTAGAGACATCAGCTGGTGGAAGTGGCGGGAGCCACACACCTGCAGAGTAAAGGCAATCACGAGGGCCCATCACCCCACACCACTTTCTAGCCCTTAAGCCGAGGTCAAAAGAGACAGGCTGTGGACATACACTGGGGCCCTCCTGCCCCCACTGTCCAGGTCTGGCCCATTGATTGGCTTTGCACTGAAGCCCATCCTGGTTCCTGAATCAAGCACGCCTCCTCTGAGCACCCAGGCAATCCAGGCTCGTGCTGGGAGCTGGCAGGAATGCCAGCCGGGGCTGATGATGTAGCTGCGGGCGCCTCACCCAAGGCCGTGGCAGTCCGCCAAAGCCCTGCAGTCCGACGTGTGGGAAAGGAGATGGGCTGTAGCTACACACCAGGCATTTTCTCCTAATCTGGAGCCTGGCCTACACGCGGGATGCCCCCTCTGCAGTTTAGGGACAAGCCTTTTAAAAAAAAAAAATCATGGCCTCTGCCCAGTGAGCAGCCAGTGAGACCAGGTCCGGGTACAAAGGCCACCTGAGACAGACAGGACATACAGGCCTTCAGGAGGTGGATACCATTATGCCCCTCCCTCGGGAAGCCCTCGGGAACCGAAACCGGAGTCGCAGAGAGCAGGGCTGGAGGCAGCTGCAACCCCAGGCACGAGGAAGGGGAGGGGCTGAGGCGAGATAAAGGGAGCAGTGGCCCGCAGTAACCTTTCCAGCGCCAGGCTCCTAGCAGGCCTGGCCTGCTGGGGAGCTGCGAGCCTGGAACCCAGGCGGAAGGGCGGCCCTGGGAGGGGGTGCAGGGTGGCTGCTGGGCCGGCAGGAAGTGCGTCCTGCCGCGGTGGCGGCCAGGGCCAGGCATCCCTGGCCGGGGGGCCTGTGGAGGAGGCTGAGCAGGTAGCTGGGCTGGCCTGCAGGCTCAGGCAGGGGAGGCTTTGACCCCGAGTACCTCGGGCTGCCACTGTTGTGGCCGCCGCGCTGGGCGCTGCTCGTTAAGCCCCGCTTGGGCTGAGTCACGCCCATAATGCCAGCCTACCTGGCCCACCAGCTTGGCCAGATACCGGCCTTCAAAGGCCCTGGGGGGCCCACGTGGGGCCAGGCAGCAGGCCGTGCCCCACTGTCCCTGCTCCCAGGTGGCAGCAGCCTCCTCCCGGCTGGCGGCAGGAGTGGAGCAGGCAGGGAGCTCAGGCATGGGAAACTGCTAGGATCCGCAGCTCCGAGGCCCAGACAACCACCCTGAGATGGAGAGGAAGCAGAAGTGGCCTGGCGTAAGCCGGCAGCCGGCCCAGGGCAGTCCCCACCCAGCCTTCCTGCTTCTCCATTTCTGAGCCCAAATCTGGGCAGCCCCAGGACCTGCCATCCCCAGTCTTCGTCTTCTGTGACCTCCCTGCACGTCTGGCAGGAGCCCCAGCCAGGCCTGGGCTTTGCCCGCTGTCCATGGCTATTTGCCCCCCGCCCCGGGCCCAGTACCCCGACCTGCCCCACCTCGTGGCCCCCATAGAAGGCGATCTCCTCGGAGTTGGCCACCACGCGAGAGTGCATGTAGCGCAGCTCTCCCTTCCTCCGCGCCTCCTCGGCCACCAGCTCGCCAAACTTGGGTGAGAAGGCCCGCAGCACGTTGGCTGTGAGGAACACGACGAGGCCCGCAATGGCTGAGGGCCAGGCTGTGCCGGCCCCGCGGGAACGGGCCGCGCGAAGCAGGGTGTAGGCGGTCACGGCAACGTCCAGGAGTGGCTTGGTGAGGTTGGAGTAGAGGTGGGCCACGGAGGCGGCAAAGGCCACCACGTCCTCCGTCAGGGACTGGTCAGGGTTGCGAAGCCGCCCGTCCATGTTGCTGACTCTGTAGTAGGTCTGCTGGGAGAAGTAAAGGCTGTAGGCATGGGCCACTAGACGGCTGCGGAAGGACAGGGCCAGCTGGCCCTCTAGGAACCGGATGGCACTGTTGATGAAGGTGGCGGGGAGGGCGATGAGGAGCCACTGCAGGAGCTGCCAGCCGAAGGCCCGGGGGTCCTTGCGCACGATGCCGCGCACCAGCCGGCCATCCAGGCGGGCCACGTACACGGACAGGAAGGTCCGGCTCACCAGGGAGGCCGAGTGCAGCGCCAACAGCCCTGTCTCCCGGCACAGGGTCCTGGGAAAGAGCAGCCGCAGGAGCCCCAAGAGCCGCTGCAGGAACACCCGGTTCACGCTGGCCTTGGCCGCTGCGGCCCCGGACACCTCCTGCGTGGACTCCCCTGCTGGTACCTGAGGGCCCCTGGTGGCTGCCAGGTACTGCCGCACCAAAGGGTAGACTTTGTGGGCTCCATAGGCCGTGAGGGCCAGGACCAGAGCTGTGCGCTTCAGCGTGCTCACCCGCGAGGACCGGGGGGTGGAGAGGACCGGCATGTCACCTGGGATGGACGCACAGGGCTGGGGCTGGTGCCTGAGGCAGAAGTCGAGGCAGGTGGCTGGAAGGGTTGTTGCTCTGACCCCCGGCTCCTGGTCTAGGCAACTGGAAACCTTGCAGTGGTCCCTGAGATGGTCGCGTTAGGCCACTGGGGCGGTGCTGGGGCCCCCAGTGCGGTGGGCTCAGGACCCTCCAGGGTAGCGGCCTCTCCAGGCAGCCAAGGTGGAGAAACTTGTCAGGCCCCTAGCCCCTGGGGTCAGAGCCTCGAGGGGGGGAGGGGGGGTGTCAGCAAAGAGGGAGTCTCTTCCTCTCCACCGCCTCCTCCTCCTCCTCCTCCTCCTCCTCTCCGGGTGGCGCCCCTCCCCGGGGCACCGGGCGCGTCCGTCCGCTCCGGCGCAGCCTGTCTGAAGCCGACAGTGACTCCACCACCCACCCCTTCCCAGGGGCGAGTCGAGGGGAAGGGGAGGAGGCGGAGGAGGGGCGGGAGGCGGAGCCCGGGCGCGGCGAGCCCCACCCCGTTCTCGCCCCACGACTGGGCCCCGCCCCTTCCCCAGACCACTGAGACGTGGGAGGACCGCGCGGGCCAGAGAAGCGGGCCCGGGCTTTCCCGCCAAGGTCCCGCCCCTCCTGTCGGCGCGCCCGAGGCGTCACCGCCCAGCCTCCAGGAGCCTCCTCTCCAGTCCTGGGCTTCAGAGCCTCGGCTGGGGGGCGGGGCGAAAAACGGCCGTGGGCGGAGTCGCCGGGGCCTGGGTGCAGTTGGGAGCCGGGAGCGGGGGGCGGGGCGCGGCAGGTGCTTCCGGTTTCCGGCCGTGGGGGGAAGGGGCGGGGCCAGGGCTGCGGTGGGATCGTTTGGTGGCGGCGGCAGCGGCGCGTGTGCGTTGGCTGTGGGAAGCTCGGTGAGCGTGCTCGCGCGCCGGGCTGGGCTCTGCGGCCACCCAGGTCGTCCGGGCCTTTGACGGGGGCAGCGGCGGGTAGTGCGAAGAGGGCCCGGGGCGCGGGGCCGAGGGCCGAGCCGGGAGTACGGGGGCAGGGCTGGGCTGAGGGGAGTCAGGGCGGTGGCTGGAGTTGGGCCCCGGGGGCGTGAGGGCCGGCGACGGGCGGTGGCGAAGCCCCTCGGGAGGGGCCGCCGGGGTGGGGCTCGGGGAGGGCGTGGCGGCCTGGGGCAGAGTCGAAGGGCCGCACGGGTGGAGCGCTGGGGGGACTCGAGCCGGGTGGGCGGCTGTGGCAGACCCGGGCTGTCGGCAGGGGCTCCTCTGGCTTCCGGAAAGATCGCCTTTTCTAGAACTTTCCCTGGATGGGGCCATGAGGTGTTTACTCGAGACCCGCATTTGCTCTTGGTTCCGACTCCCTCCCGGTAGGAGTCGCTCTTGTGGGCTTTCTGAGGTACCCCAGTTCTCCCACCTCATCGGAGGCCGATGCGGCGGCGTCGGAAGGCTTTTTTTAGTCCCTGCTCTCGACCTGGGGGGAGGCTGCAGGTTTTCTCTCGGCTCCGTGGGAAAGGCTCGGGCGGGAAGGGCCTCCTGGTTTCCCCGGGAGGGGGTGGTGTGGGGGCGCCGCGGCTCTCAGAGAAAGTGAGTTACCGAAACACTGCCGGCCCGGGCTGACTGGGAAAGGAGTGGGCCCGATGGATGTTGAGAATTTTCTCCCGTCTTTATAATCTTTCTTAACGCTTTTCCAGTTGAGCAGGCATAAGGAGTTTGCTGAATTCCATCGGGAAAGGAATTCGCCGGAAAGGTGGCTCTTAATGCCCATTCCAGAGGGCAGCGAGGAACTCTGTGCTGGCAAATGGGAGTTTGTTAGGCCTTTGAGCACGGTTGGCCAAGTCTCCCTGCTGAGCTGAGCCCAGCTTCAGCCAGTGGCTCGAAAACACTGGAGTAGCTTGCTGGGGTAGAGGGTACAAAGTGGCTGCCCAGCTCTCACAACAGCTTCTGTCCCTTTTGTGTCGTGTCAGGAAACAAGCTCGCATCTTACTGTTGGAAACCTTCTAGCAACACGATGAGTCTGCAGTGGACTGCAGTTGCCACCTTCCTCTATGCGGAGGTCTTTGCTGTGCTGCTTCTCTGCATTCCCTTCATTTCTCCCAAAAGGTATGGCGTGTGGACCAAGCAGGCAAGCAGAACGGTGACAATTGCCGAGCCCGGTAGCTTCTGCGTGCAGGGTTGGTAAGACCCTGGAACTGGGGCCAGGTGGAAACTGGCAGAACCTGTCTGGGGTTGAGGTGGCAGGGGATATGTTTATTATTGCCAACCTTCCACACAGTTTTGCTTTGTCATATCTTTTTGAATTCTTTTCCTGTGCGTGCTGCCTTCTGGCCTTCAGAATGCTCCAAGAGGGAGAAGATTTATCTCTAGTTATGTTTCTGCGAATGCTGCCCTCCGCCCTAGGTTTCAGGGGGTGGCAGTATGGCGTCTGGAAGGCTTGCACCATGGGGTCATGTTGTAGCTGAACTGGTGACTTCTGTCCTCCCAACCAGTCCCACTGGCATTGCATAGTAGCCTCATGAGCATTACCCAGCCTATGAGTGGTGAAGCTATATTCCTTTTAACGAACACAGGATCTGTTCAAAGTTAATTGGAAATTAACTTTTAATTACACATAAAATGTGGACACATTCTGATTTTAATTAGAAAATTATAAATAAGGCTGAACCTTTGTCAATGGTTTTAAAAACTTTTTAAATAAAAATATAGATCTCTGATAAAATAAAATAGGAAGTACATGTAATTGTCTAAAAAGTACTCTTGCCAAAAGCCAGATCTGAACCTCTTCATGCCTTACACAATTTAGAGGAAATGTAGAGGAAGAGGCCCTTTTGGAGCTGCAGTCTGGGCAGCTTTGTAGGACAAAACCTGGTTTCTGCAAAAAGTAGATTCAGCAAGAAGACAGGAGAGGGCGAGGAGAGATTGAGGCTATTTATCAACTAAATGCACAGTCAGAACTCTTGACAGTTCTGATTCAGACAAACCAGGTGTTAAAAAAAATTGCAACAGTTGGACTTTGGGACTCTGGCTCCAATAATGAGGGATTCTTTTTCATTTTCTTGAGGTCTGGTGATAGCATTGTGACGGTGTTAACCATTTCCAAAGGCGCTTTTTTTTTTTTTAAAGATTTTTTTTATTTATTTGAGAGACTGAGATCACAAGTAGGCAGAGAAACAGGCAGAGAATGAGAGGAGGAAGCAGGCTCCCTGCTGAGCAGAGAGCCCGATGTGGGGCTCGATCCCAGGACCCTGAGACCATGACCTGAGTTGAAGGCAGAGGCTTAACCCACTGAGCCACTCAGGTGCCCTTCCAAAGGCTCTTTACTGACAGTTACATCCTGAAGTATTTATGGAAGGAAATGAGGGAAAGTCTTGGGTCTGCTTCGTAATAATCCAGGGCAGTGGGGGTCTAGATGAACCCACATGTGTCATGTGGAGAAACCATTTGAAGAAATAATGTGTATATGGCAAGCATTTTGAACATTATGTAGAGGAATGCAAGGGAAAGTTTTCCATCTCCCTGCCCCTGAAGCTATAGTACGCTGTGTGAGAATTATTCTTGAATGGTAATACGAAGGAACATTTTTGTTTCCCTCCCCAGAAACTATTAGCGTTTTTAAGAGTGTGGGTTTTGGGGTGTGTGTGTGTGTGTGTGTGTGTGTGTGTGTGTGTGTTTTAGGCATCTCTGCACACGGACAAGCATTTTTTCCCCCGCGCTCTTGAACCGATGTCTTAAATTGGAGAACTGCAGGCACTTGCACCTGAGTCTGTTCAAGATAGCCATTGCAGAGGAGTGCAAGACTGGCTTTCTGTTCTCGGGGCCCTGGGTCCGAAGTGGATATTTGTTTCTTTAGCCTTTTTGTTTTCTTCACAGATGGCAGAAGATTTTCAAGTCCCGCCTGGTGGAGTTGGTAGTTACTTATGGCAACACCTTCTTTGTAGTCCTCATTGTCATCCTTGTGCTGCTGGTCATTGGTGAGTGAACCGTGGCTGAGGTCAGCTATGTGCCCCAGACCCTTTGCCACAGCATGGCCTCTCTTGCAAAGCCCTGTGCTGTGTTCCACGTGTAACCTACGAGTTGGACTTCTCAGAGACAGACCCCTTCAGTGTCTTTGTCTTCTTGGGAAGAGGGTCCCTCATTCCCAAACAGAGTACTGCTGGCTGCTAGCCCAGGCGTTTACTTTGACCAGCAGACTTTATGCACCCTGTGATGACCACTTCCCTTTCCTGGGCTGGCTCCTCACATCATTCCAGAACTGAAACCAAGAGAAGATGGGTCCATGTTGAGCTCGGTTGAAGCAGCACTGCTCTTCAGTCACGTGGACAGTCTGTGAATAAGGGACTGAGCGACCAAATGATTAGGGAGCAGGGCTGGGTAGGAAGCTGCTGTGTCCCGTAGCATAGGGGGACAGAGAGGCCTGGCAGTGTATCCCAGAGCTCTCTGGATTGGGGCAGGCTCCAGGTCTTTCTGGGTCCTTCTGGCTGTGAAGTTCTATAAACACTAGGTTAAGGTGCACACCAGCCAGGCTTGAGAGATAAGCCAGTGGCAGGGCATGCTCAGAGATTCTGTGCCTGGGCCCTCACGGCACTAAGATGGAAGGCAAGCATTTTGTGATGTAGTTCGGGGAGAATGTGCACGGCACTGTCCGCTGGCTGTGGCATTAGGCGTTTTTCCTTCCTCATGTCTTGGCACCTGATGGGATATGTTCAAGCAGGACTTCTCTGAACAGGCCAGGAGCAGCCTACCCTTCCCCAGCTATGTAGGGTGGGTACCAGCTGCTCAAGTATGCGTGCTGTGCTGTTCTTGCACTACTTGGCAGGGCCCCAGGAAGTAGCTCCTTCCAATCCCAGTTCCTTCTCTGAGCGGTCCCTGAGCGAGGAGGGAATAGGGAATGTATGTGTCATCCTTTGGGCATTAAAAAACTAGGCTGTAGAGTTTTGGGATGGAGTATGTGTGCTTTTGTTTTTGGGTGTAGGGTAGGAGCAAAAATTGGGGTGGGGAGGGGCTGTGCCGGGGTGCTGCCTCAGGGCTTTGCCCCTGTCTACAGCCCCCATAAGCTCCCCATTTCCTAGCATAGCTGATGAGCCAGGGAGGTCCTCTGTAGAACCCAGGAGTTGGCAGAGGTGCCATTCTTTTTGAGGTCAGGCAAGCTCTTGAAGTTCTAGAGAGACACTGGCTTTGATGACTGGCTGCTTCCTACCATGACAGTAAGAAGCATAATCTAGAGAGGTCTGTCAAGACTTCTACAGACATAAATGTGAGCTAGCAGGAGATCCAGGTAAAACATGGTGGGTGTAGCTAGAGCTGCATCCCTGGCTTACCCCCAGCCTTCACTGGGAGGAGTCTGGGGCAGGTCTGAAAGGGTGCTGGGGGGTGGGCCTGAGCATCCAGGGTCTGGGTCCTGGTCCAGAGGTGGGAGATACAGAGGGCAGCACTGCGTTATGTGACTTGGGCTAGTGTGGCCTAACACCCCTAGTCGCCAGTGAGCCCCCCGCCATTGGCCAAGGTGGTCCTTAGGGTGGTGGGGTTCCTGGATGCAGATGTGGGTGTGTAGAAAAACATCTTTTTATTTTATTTTTTATAGATTTGTTTAGTGAGAGCAAGCATTGAGCTTGGCGGAGGGGGGCAGGGAGAGGTAGAGAGAGAGAGAGAGAGTCTAAAGCTGACTGCACTGAGCTCGGAGCCCGATGTGGGGCTCGATCTTACAACCCTGAGATCACGACCTGAGCTGAAACTTACAAACTGGGCACTTAACTGCACCTTCCAGGAGCTCCAGACATGGTTTTTTTTTTAATCACAAAAATAACACATTCTTATAAATTCAGAAATTTACCCCAGAAAGTTAATGTCCCCTCAAAATCCCATGTCCTTGGTAAAACTGTCCTTGATACTTTGTTGTATGTGCCACGGGCACTTTTCTATGCTGACATTTTTACTAAAATACTACGTCCTATTTGGGATTGGATTCAGAGTATAGTACACACCGTTTTGGATTGTATGTTTTCTGTTTACAGAACTCTCATCCTTTTTAAACATTGGGTGGTATCCTGGGGCACCTGGGTGGCTCCTTCAGCTCAGGTCATGATCTTAGGGTCTTGGGTTTGACCCCCTGTTGCGCTCCGAGTTCAGCGGGGAGTCTGCTTCTCCCTTTTTTCTGCCCCTCTTCCCACTCGTGCACATGTATGCGTGCCCCCCCCAAATAAATAAAATCTTTTAAAAAATGTGTACTATTGTAACACATGGTTTTGCTGTAATTCCATTTTCTTTATAGGCGTAGTGGTATCATTGTACGTTTATGCAAATATTTTATGTGGGATAAGTTCATAGAGGTGAAATTGATGCGTCCAAGGGCATGACCGTTTTAAATTTTAGGTCTAACGGGCGCTGCTCTAACAAAAATATCATAGACTGTTGCTTTAACAACAGACATTCATTTTTCATTTTCATTCATTTTTCACATTTCTGGAGGCTGGAAGTCCAAGATCAAGGTGCTGGCAAATTTGGTGTTTGGTGAGGGCCTGTTCATTGTTCATAAAGCCTTCTTGCTTTGTCCTCACATAGTGAAAGGGATGAGAGAGCTCTGTGGGGTCTCTTTTATAAGGGTACAAACCCCATTCATGAGGGCCTTGCTTTCATGACTTAATCCTCCCAAAGGCCCCACGTCATAATAACCATTCCACTGGGGGTTAGGTTATCAGTATAGGAATCTTGGGGGTTGGGGGGCCGGAATACTTCGTTCATAATAAGTAGGCCTGTTGGCCTGGTTTAGACTTCTGAGTGGTGGAGATGCTTGCTTCATGATACAGATTAACACAAGGACACCAGGAACGGGAGGCAGATTTTTTTATGATGTGAGGTCAGCTTGAAAACCAAGCAGTCTCAAGCTAAGAATTAACCAGACAATGTCGGTGTACTGGCACCTTGCTCCTCACTCATTCGGGTCTCTTAAGAGACCTTTCTAGGTAGATCTTTATGTACTGATGTAAAAAGATGTCTCGGGTAAGGGGGGGTGCGGAAAGCGGTAGATGGTTGCGTTTGCACACTGTAGACAGACAGATGTAAACATATGTGTAAACCAGAGAGCCGTGCCCTACTGGTGCCTCTCGGGGGCAGAGGCTGCTCGCGAGGCACTTATCTGCACAGCCCATGCGCCCGGAGCTGTGCTGCGCCTGGGACATGGTAGAAGAGATTTCTTCTCTGGTGGTTTGTAGTCTGATTCAGGGAGGATGGACAGTAAACCTGTAATTAGGGCAGTTTCAGCTTAGGGTGCGTATTATGGAGAAAATGGGGTAATAGGGCTCAAAGTGGCTGCCTTAGGTAAGACGACCAAGTGTCCCGTGCTTGTTGGAGGTGCTTATGTCATAGGAGTCTTCTCTTTAGGTATTTCTAATATATTTGAATTTTTGACGAGCGTGCATTTGTTTTATAATCCGAATAAGGTCGTTCTTTGGCCTTGTCTTTGATTTTTGTTAATCTTTTCCCTGTTCTGAAGGTTGCCTTTTAGCTCTGTTGATTGCTTCTCTCATTGTGGAAGCTTTGTATTTTGATGCACTCCCAGTAGTTTGGTGCCCTCGCCTCAGGACACAAATCTAGAAAAATGTTGCTACAGCCGATGTCAGAGAAATTACTGCCTGTGCTCTCTCTTCAAGGATTTTGATGGATTCAGGTCTCACGTTGAGGTCTTTCATCCATTTCGAGTTTATTTTTGTGTGTGGTGTAAGGAGGTGGCCCAGTTTCATTCTGCTGCGTGTGGCTGTCCAGTTTTCCCCACACCATTTGTTGAAGAGACGGTCTTTTTCCCATCGGATATTCTTTTCTGGTTTGTTGAAGGTTATCTGGCCATGTAATTGTGGGTTTGTTTCTGGGTTTTCTGTTCTAGTCCGTTGACCTCTGTGCTTGGTTTTATGCTAGTACCATACCGTTTTAATTATTACTGTTTTGTAATATAATTTGAAATCTGTAATTATGATCCCTCCTGTTTTGTTTTTCAGGATTGCCCTGTTTGGGGTTTTCTGTGGTTCTGTCCAGACCGGAGGATTGTTTGAGCTCTGTGAAAACTGCTCTTGGCATTCTGATAGGGGTGGCATTGCATCTGTAGACTGCTTTGGGTCGTAGGGACATTTTGATGATCTTTATTCTTACTAAGGCAGTTTATTTTCTTTGTTTTTTTAAAGATTTTATGTATTTGATAGAGAGATCACAAGTAAGAGAGGCAGGCAGAGAGAGATGGGGATGCAGACTTTCCCGCTGAGCAGAGAGCCCGATGCGGGGCTCGATCCCAGGACCCTGAGATCATGACCTGAGCTGAAGACAGACGCTTAACCCCGATAAGGCAGTTTGAGTAATAAAACCCGTTATGAAGCTTAGAAACAGAAAAGCTCGTCTTCAGAAGGCTGCCTCGGCGTCGCAGTTGCTGGGCCGCTCACGCTGCGTCTGCGCCAACCTGGCTGGGGGTGCCCAGTGGACGTGGGGGCCCTGCGGCCCCTGCCAGCAGCACCGCACACTAGGGTACCGAGTTTGTGGTCGGGAGAGAAGGGGCCGGGCAGGGACGTGAAAAAAGCCAGAGGAGAGCAGATCTTAGGGCGGAGCTCCCGACAAGGGGTCCCCCCAAGGCGTGTGGAGCTGGGGACACACCTGGGGTGACAGACCTGAGGGCAGCGCGGTCAGCTTGACCCGCGCCGCCTGCCCGCCGCGGACGGCGCGGGGCCGGGCGGCGCCGGAGCTAACGGCCGCGTGTCTCCCGCCGCAGACGCCGTGCGCGAGATCCGGAAGTACGACGGCGTGACGGAGAAGGCGAACCTGCACAACAGCCCCGGCGCCCTGGAGCACTTCCACATGAAGCTTTTCCGCGCGCAGCGGAACCTCTACATCGCCGGCTTCTCCTTGCTGCTGTCCTTGTGAGTGACGGCGGCGCCCCCTGGCTCGCCTGTGCTTTTGCCTCGCTTCTCTGTGGCCTTGAATCGGAGGCCGCGATGTGCCCGGAGGCCTCTGACCTGGCTCCCGGCGGCCGGACGACTGGGCCGCCGGAAGACTTGGGTCCCGGCTCTGCCGAGGGGGCAGGCGCACGCCCGGCTTGCCCTCTGGGTGGAGGCTGGAGTGATGGTGAGGCCGTGCGCTCCGGGGGAGCGTCTCTGGAGGCCGCCTTAAAGGGGTCAGCTGAACGGGGGCCTGACCAGAGAAGATTGGGCAGAAGTGGTGGCACAGAGGGGCTGAGGGCGTGTCTGTCCACAGTGTAAACCTGCTGCGGGAGCAGCCTGTCTTTGGTGGGTTTTTTGGTAAGACCGAGCGCCTCCCTCTGGGGCAAGGGGGTGGCTACTTGGCGGAGACTGAAGTGTTAACAAAGCCCGTTTGAGTCCGGAGGCCGCTTTGCTGCTTCTGCTCGTGGGGGGTTCTCGTCCGAGGGGCCTGGCTGCCATTGCGTGTGCCCGATTGGCTAGGGGCGAGCCTCGTGCTTAGGCCAAGGGCTTCCAGAGGTTGGCAGGGTAGCATGTGGATTTTCTAGCTGGGCTTTTCTGCTTCTAGTCACTAGGATGTGTTTCTTCACTAGGCATTAGAATGCCTGCCTGCCTGGGTTTCAGGTTTTCAAAGGAAAGCTGAGCTGTTCGGATGACCTTGACCACTCTCAGTCCACACTGGAGTGTGGCAGAGCTAGAGCTGCAAAGGGCAGAGCTTTTCCGGGGGGTCTGTTGGATCACCGAAGGGGTCCACAAGCGAGCGGTCTTTAAACTGGAGAGGCAGGCAGTGAGAAGGCCGGGAGGCCAGGTACCCTGGAGTTGGAGGGTTTCGGGAAGCTCCAGAATGTGGTGTGATTTTGTGGTCTGAGACTGAAAGGGAGGCGGGTGCCGAGGATTGAGTCCCAAGTGCACCTGCGCCCCAGGAGCCGGAAGAAGTCGCTGTGTCCGCAGAGCCTGCAGAGGGGCACCTGCGTGGGGCCGTTAGTTGGATGTCCGATTCTTGGTTTCAGCTCAGGTCATGAGCTCGAAATTGTGGGATTATCGGGCTCCGAGGTCATTGCAGAATCTGCTTCAGGTTCTCTCTCTCCTTCTGTCTCTCTGTGTGTGCGCATGTGTGCTCTCTTCTCTCTCATCTTTAAAAACAAGAAAGAGCCTGTAGAGGCTTGGGGGTGGGTTGGGAGGGGACTTCCCGGCAAGCTTATGTTTCATCTGAAAGGTAGGAGGGAAACGGGGGGCTGCAGGGGAGCGCACAGAGCCCGTGAGGAAAGCCACGTCAGGAAGGCAGCGGCCGGCCTTGGGCTCTGCGTCGTGGAAAACGGTAAGACCCAGAGAAGACGGAGTTCCTTGATGCGTTTCCGTGAGGTAGGGAAAGGGCCAGGAAGTCAAGGGTGGAGAAAGCCCTGGGCTGAGAGAACGGGAACCCCAGGGAGGCGGTGTAGTTTCCGCTCACGCTGGTTGCATCGTGGCCAGGGGCTCTGGCCATCTTCTGGAGGGTGGATGCCGGAGGGCTGCGGGCGGCGATCGCCCTGAGTTCCAGAGGAGGGAGGAGGCTCTGACTCCGATCTCCGTCCGCGTTCTGGGAAGGATATCCTGGACCGCGCTTCTCGGCCTCTCGGCTGAGTGTACTGTCTGTCCCCGCCCGTTTCCTATCGCATCGGACAGGTCTCTGGAGTGTCTGGGGACAGGACAGGAAAGGGGTTCTCGAGCAGGAGCACCGCCTCTGGGGTGCTGTGCCTCCCCCCGAACGAGCGAGTGCGAATAGCTTGTGTGGCTTCAGAGAAGAGAAAGGGCTCAGCGGCGGCGGACTGCGGGAGAACGAGCTCTGTCCGTCCCAGGCCGGCCTCTGTCCGTGCGGCGGGCTTGCGGCTGCCGCTGGTTGTGCAGGAGCGGCCGCCGAGGCGAGGGCAGGCTGCTGGCCTGGCGCCGGGTGCGCGGGTGCGGTCCCTGTTCCCGTGGGCACCTGCCGGGGGCCTGCTCTGGCCGGGTGGCGGCTCCACCCTCCACCTGCCCGTGCTGCTCTGCTGAGGACACTTGTGGCCCAGCCTGGGCAGCGGCCGTAGGGAGAGCCGGTCCCAAGGAGGAGTCGGAGGCAGGCTGGTTAGCTCCTGCGGGGGGCGTGGGCTGCCGCGCGGGTTCACCGCCGCGGCCGCATGGGACTCGCCTTCGGAGCGGGGCTGCCTGTGCAGACGAGCCTGTCGGTTCACAGAGGGCTGCAGAGACGGGCCGTCAGGGACTGGGACAGACATGCGGTCGTGGCTTCTGGTACCCTAGCGGCGTCCGTGGTAGTGGAGCAGCTGCTGGCACCCCGCGTGGAGGCTGGGGCTGCCAGGAGGGCGCAGCTCGCCCTGTCGAGCTCCGTGTCGGCGGCGCGCCACCTGGAGGGCTGCTGCTGGGACCCCGCCTCTGGGGAGACGCCAGCGGACAGCAGATTGTGAGTCCAAGGCGGCCGTGGTGGGCAGAGCTGTGCACCTTCTGCACATGTGTCTGTGAAGTCATTCTCCTGCCTCTTCTGCTTTCCTGGTCTCTCCCAGAAGGATGCCTCCGGGGCAGATGTGCCGGGGAGGGGAGCCGGGCGTGCCAGGGAGCGCGTGCTCAACTTAGGCCCGCTTCTGTGACACCGCGCACCCGGGTGTTCCAGTCTCGTTCCTGCGGGTGAGTTGCTAACGCTGACGGTACAGTCGTGTCCAGTTCTAGGAGTGTTTCGGCAAATGTAGAGTCGGGTAACCCCGTCACCGTCAGGGTGCAGAGCAGTTGGCGGTTTCCTTGTTCAGACGCCATGCTGTTCCCGAAGGATGCGTGAAAATTAGGAGAAGGGAGTGAAATTTGGGCATGCCCTCCAGTCTGTTCTTGTGGCTGCACTCCGTCCTTTGCCCTGCTAGCTGCCTCCCTGCTTTGCTGTGACCTGTGCCTTTCACAAGCACACAGCACTGGGTTGAATTGCGTTTTAGACGAGTCAGACACAAGTGGCTGGAGTAGCTTTTGGGCCCTGCTTGCTTCGGTAGCCACAGCTCTCCCTCTGTTGCAGCCAGACACTTTGCTGCGCCCTCCTGTGTCCCTGTCTGGTAGCTGTTACAAAAACGTGTGAGGCTGGTCTCATGCAATTTCTTAGAAAAGGAAACGGTGACCCCGGGGGTCAGTGTGGATTCACCAGTTGCCCTGCAAATGATCTGTTGAATCGTTTCTGGAATTTTCCAGAAATACATATTCCTCTTTACTCCAGGGTTCAGATCTTACATGGTGGCTGTGGTCCTTGAGCAACTTCTCTTTTTGCACAACGTTAGCCGTGGAAAGTTCTTGTCCAGACTGGGTGGCTATGCAACCTGTACGTGACTTGCAGGAAATAGTTCAAATAAAAGCAGAACTGTAATTTTTGTTGCTCTGATTACAAAGTTATTCCTGCTCATTGTAAAATAAATAAAGGCCCCTAAACTTCAAATAATGCAGGAGTGTTGGGCACAAGAGGGAGTGCTTTGTCTCATCCCCAGAGATGGGTAATACTGGGACATTTCCGAACTCTTCCAGTCCTGTCTTAAGTAACGTGTAACTTTTCTTTCAGAAGTGCCGTGGGGTGTTTTTTGCTCTGCTTTGACTTGCCCTCTTCACGGAATGATGTGTCTTGGTGATTTTTCCATGACTCATGCAGACCGCTCTTGTTTTTTTTTTAAGATTATTTATTTATTTATTTGAGAGAGAGAGAGAGACAGAGTCAGAGAGAGAGAGCATGAGAGGGGACGGCAGAAGAGAAGCAGACTCCCCATGGAGCTGGGAGCCCGATGCGGGACTCCATCCCCAGGACTCTGGGATCATGGCCTGAGCTGAAGGCAGTCGCTCAACCAACTGAGCCACCCCAGTGCCCAAACCGCTCTTGTTTTTAATGGTCATGTAGTCTGTCATGTGACGGAACCGTTGTGTGTTTAACTGGTGCTCTGTTCTCAGATACGTAAGCTGGCTTTAAATTTTTACTACTAAAAACCGCTTTCCCACCTCGGCACTCTGAGGCACTCTGTTCATTTTTGTCTCTTAACTCTTTCTAGTCATTAGGAATGGATCAGTGGTGTCCTGGTCCCTGGGAGCCCACTGCTCTGATGAGCTGGAGGCTTATTGGAAACGCGGTCCTGTAGACCATCCCCTGGCCCCTGGCGAGCAGGTTGCAGTGAGCCCCGTGCCTGGTTGTGCTTGGAGGAGCGCTGCGCTGGCGGTGCCTGCCCGCTGCGAGCTGCCCTGGAGGCCAGCCGAGGGTGGCCGATCTGGCCGAGCAGGCGCGTTGCAGGCTCTCACTGCCCAGAACAGGATTCCTAGCTAGGTCTGGATGGACTAGAGTCAGATGCATCTCAGACGCTGGGAGCGCTGTCTCACTCTCCTCATTTACCTTCTTGGTTCAGGAATCGTGTCTGCCTTGGAATGTTGGAAGCACATTTTCTCTTTGAAGAATGTCTTCTCTCACCTGTCAGCGTATACTCCCTGCCCTGTGTGGAGACCTCCTTCCTTCTTTTGTTCTCCGTGTCTTTGCTTATGGGACTGTCTGAGCTTTTTTATGAGTATTTTTTTGTTGTTGTTTTTTAAGTAGTCTCTACACCCAATGTGGGGGTCGAACTCAAAATCCCAAAATCAGGAGTCACACGCTCTACTGACTGAGCCAGCCAGGTGTCCTTCTTTGAACTTTGAAACAAATGAGCCACTCGCTTTTTTTTTTTTCCTTTTAAAGATTTTATTTATTTATTTATTTGACAGAGAGGAGAGCATGTGCACACACAAATAGGCACACAGTAGGCAGGCAGAGGGGGAGAGAGAAGCAGGCTCCCCGCCGAGAAAGGAGATCATGACCTGAGCCGAAGGCAGCTGCTTAACTGATGGAGCCACCCAGGCGTCCCTCGCTTTTTTTTTTTTTTTAAAGATTTTATTTATTTGTTTATTTGACAGAGAGATCACAAGTAGGCAGAGCAGCAGGCCGGTGGGGGGGG